TGCATTTAGTACAATAGTTATAAAGTGATATACGCCAAAATATAATAAGCAAAAAGATTCTGTATCAAGTCACACTTGCCATCACTCACGTGATTGGCTTGCTGGGCACCTATGACTAGCAGTAGGAAGCCTAGTCTAAGACATCTACATATTTGGGGGTGTCTTGCAGAGATAAGAGTATTCAATCCACATGAAAAGAAATTGGATCCAAGAACTATTTCAGGGTATTTTATTGGTTATCCAGAAAAATCCAAGGGATACAGATTTTATTGCCCTAATCATAGTATGAGAATAGTAGAATCTGGTAATGCAAAATTCCTTGAAAATGGCGAAATCAATGGGAGTGAAAAATCTCGAAGGATTAATTTTGATATCGAGGAGATTCAAGTTAATTCTCCCATATCATCTCCTATTCGAGAGATTGTTGTTCCTCAAATCAATGAGAATATTGATAAGGGTGAACAACAAAATAACATCGAAGAACTCTCACATGATGTTGATGTCGCCGCTGATAATCTTGTAGAACATTCACAATTGGTAGATTTGAGAAGATCTCAAAGGAAAAGAAAAAATGTCATTTATGATGATTATGTGGTATATCTACAAGAATCAGATTATGATATAGGAATAAAAAGAGACCCCTTATCGTTTTCACAAGCCATAGAAAGTAACGATTTTGAAAAATGGTATGATGCAATGAAAGAAGAGTTAAAATCAATAGTCCAGAATGATGTTTGGGATCTTGTTGAATTGCCCAATGATTGTAAAAGAGTCGGTTGTAAATGGGTCTTTAAGATAAAACGTGACTCAACGGGCAATGTCGAATGATATAAAGCCAGACTTGTGGCCAAGGGTTTTTCTCAGAAGGAAGGCATCGATTATAATGAGACTTTTTCTCCAGTTTTAAGAAAGGACTCATTAAGAATCGTCATGGCATTGGTAGCTCATTATGATCTTGAGTTGCATCAGATGGACGTGAAAACAGCATTTCTGAATGGGGATCTGGATGAGGAAATCTATATGGAACAACTTGAAGGATTCATTGAAAAAGGAAAAGAAAATTGGCCTTATAAACTTAAGAAATCCATTTATGGCCTTAAACAAGCTTCCAGACAATGGTATATAAAATTTCATAATACCATTACTTCCTTCGGATTTAAGGAAAACACTGTTGATCAGTGTATATATCTGAAGGTAAGTGGGAGCAAGTTTATTATATTGGTCTTATATGTGGATGATATTTTACTTGCCAGTAGTGATCTTGGTTTATTGCACGAAACCAAGATATTTCTCAACAAGAACTTTAAGATGGTTGATATGAATGAGGCAGCCTATGTTATTGGCATTGAGATATTCAGGGATAGATCTCAAGGATTATTAGGACTGTCTCAGAGAGGATATATTGATCGTATCTTGGAAAGATTTAATATACAGCTTTGCTCAGCCAATGATGTACCTATTACTAGAGGTGAAAAATTCAGTCAAAACCAGTGCCCAAGAAATGACTTAGAAAATAATCAAATGAAGAATATTCCTTATGGGTGCGCAGTTGGAAGTCTATTATATGCTCAAACCTATACAAGACCATATATCAGTTTTGCAGTTGCAATGCTGGGAAGATACCAAAGCAACCCAGGAATGGAACATTGGAAAGTTGCAAAGAAAGTAATGAGATATCTGCAAGGGACGAAAGATTATATGCTCACATACAGGAGATCAGATCAGCTTGATGTGATAGGATATTCAGATGCTGATTTTTCAGGATTTGTATTTATGTTAGCTGGTGGGGCAATTTCTTGGAAAAGTGCAAAGCAATCGCTTATTGCATCATCAACAATGGAAGCTGAATTTGTGACATGCTTTGAGGTCACAAATCAAGCTTTATGGTTGTAAAATTTCATCTCAGGACTTGGTGTGGTCGACTCAATTGCCAAGCCGCTGAAGATATTTTGTGATAACACTGCAGTAGTTTTCTTCTCTAAGAATGGCAAGTACTCTAGTGGTTCCAAGCACATTAAGATAAAGTACTTGGTGGTTAGAGAAAGAGTCCAGAAACAACAAGTATCAATTGAGAACTTGAGCACCACTATGATGATTGTTGATCCATTGACAAAAGCCTTACAGTGTAAAATATTCAAAGAACATGTTCTTAGAATGAGGCTTGTGAGCAAGTTATAAAGGATATGGTGATGCATATTTATGTGGATGCTATTATTGACATTCTTCTTGCTTAATTGAAGTTATATGTTTCTGCTATCCTGTTTACATTTATGTTTATGTATATTATGGTTGAATGTAATAACATGATTGTCTTGACAAGACAAATTACAAGGGTCATTATGGACTATATTAGGAAATACTAACAATGTTGTGGTACATAGAAGGGAGTATGACATTGATGAAATACAATCGCTATGACTCGCATTGATAGTTGGACTTAATATAGTATTATTATTTTTTATTGGACTTATTGGCTTATTTTAAAACATGGCCATGTATAAAATGCTTTTCAAAAAATTCCTTGGAATCCAATTAGGTAAAATTGGTTTTTAAAACAAATTTTGTTTTGTTTATTTTGATTTTGAATATCTCTTTTATATCTTATCAATTAATGGGTCAAACGGGAGAATGTTAGAATATGTGGCCCTTTTATAATTGAATAAGATATATAATAGAATAACTGATTGGGTTCCGTTCAGATATTTTAGCCAATAGACTAAGTCCACTACGGAACGATTCCTCGGAGATAGAGATATATAGTATCTCATCGTAGACCCTCACGTACAGACGCATCTCTTCGAGGGATTTCAGTTTCCTCAAAAACCCCTTTCTCCCAAAAATCCATCACTCTAAGTGTGGATCTACTCCTCCTTGCACTCCTTGCAGACGGGAGAAAGGATCTACTCCTCCTTGCACTCCTTGGGTGGTTGACTGCAGCAATCTTGGATTAAAGACGGTGCTTAGCGGATCAATCGAGATATCTGAAGAGATGGCATCAAAAGGTACGCATCGTAATTAGATCTATACATTTTTTATTTCAATCCTGACATATAAGTTATTTTTGCATTATAGATATAGCATAATTATAGACTTTATGCTTACAAATAGCACTAAAACCAAACATGTTCAATATTTCTTAGTTCAGTTAGGATTAAAAAGATGGATTCAACTTTACATAATCGTAATCACAGTAACCAACGAGAAAGAAGATTATCTCCATGAAGTTGCTCACTATTTTGGTACTCTGAAAACTACAAATTTTTGTTGGGTCCATCAGTCAACGATGAGATCATGAGATCACAGGGCTGAAAGAATTGAAAGAATGATCAAACTCTGTTGTAACTATCAGCTATTCTTGGGGGGAAGAGAGTTCATCCATCATCCATGAGCGACTGCTCGTGGAGAGTGCCAAAGAAGAATACTAAAATGCTGAAGCAGTACTGTTGCTGTTATTACTGCTGCTGGAACTCGACAGCCGTTTCACCAATCTATCCAAGGCTTCCTTCATCCATGGATGCTGGCATCCCTCTTTGGCATCTGCCACCGTCACCTGATCCACCAAACCAGTCTGAGGGATGGAAAACACCACTACCTCGAATCTAAAGATTCAGTTCTCTTGTGTGTGCTTACCCATTTGCGTTCTCTCGTGTGCATCTCAGGCCAGTCCCCCAGTTCCTCCGTCACATTGAGAGGGAACATGATGCCCTCGTGCACTGCGCCGTAGGTCCTGCTCTTGTACTTCCACTTCCCAAGTTTTCGCTGCAACGATGGCACAGCAAGATGGTCAGCAACACTGCGACAAAGGCGAGTAATTTGGAGAGGAAGTGGGCAGGATCGCAAGCTTACCTGCACATTCCCCTGCACTCCAGCTTCCTCCAATGCCTCCCGCAAAGCTGCTTCTTTAATGGTCTCATCCGTCTCCCACCCACCCTGAGAAGGCAACAGAAACCCATTGATTTGATTGATTCAACACCAAGAATTCAGATTAATTAAGACAAAAATTGTTCTTTTGGTGGGTTCTCATGAACATTTCATCGAGCAAATTACACGGATCCATTACTGACATGAAAGAAAAAACGTAGCTTTCTGCATACCTTTGGGAACAACAATCCATTTCCTTTGGGCGAACTGATGACAAGAACCTCCATGGATCTATCGAGGTCTTCACCGCCGCCGTCGCCAGGATTATACTTGTAGGGAATGCACCCGACGACGAGGCGGCTCCCGCTCTTGCTGTAGCGCTGGAGCTGCCTGCCCTGCCGAGACACCATGCACACCATCTTCCTCCTTGCAACCTTCCTCGCCTTTTGTTTCCGATGCGGAGTAAACAGGCTAGAGGGGCAATAAATAGAAGAGGAGACGGCGGAGCGCGTGGAGGAAGGTGGCGAATCCAATTGACGTGGCAGAAGCGTCGCTTCCGGGCATTGTCTGTCACGCTTCTCCGTCACTTCTCGCTTTCGTTAGCGTTTCGTTCCGTGGACAAAACGCGACGGAATTCGTCGTTAACTGTGATGGTATCCCCTTTAGGGCGATGGGCCCCGCTGTACGGTTGACTTGACGGGCCGGCAACGCGAGTTCGACCGTGTCAAATTCCCGTGTCTTCTCTGTCGGAAGTAAATGAAATCTGGGGTGGCTGTCGCTTGCCGAGCTAATTATATATTATTTGTATAGTTAATTATTCTTAATATTTTAATCTTTATATCTTAAAAAATTATATTAAAATTTTTATATTTATAAAAATAAAATATTTAATTTTATTTCTCTTCGTATCATTGATTTTACTAATTAAAATATTATAAGATTTATTACCTAAATTTGATTTATTACTAAGTACATACGGTATTTTTATTAGCAAAATCAATGACGTGAGAAGAAACGGATTTAAATATTTTACTTTCGTAAGTATAAATATCTCAATATAATTTTAAGAATATAAAAATCGAAATATTAAAGATAGCTAATTACATTATGTAATATGTAATTAGCGCCTAGCCATTGATGTGAACATGATTTTGATCCTCTCTGAATTTTAACTAATTATCGTCGCATTCTAATCAGATTTGAACATTTAGTTTTTATAATGGTTCTATCTTCTTATCTGTATTAAAATTATATATAAATCATCTAAAAAACCTATAATAATTGAATTTTATTGGATGATGTCCTAATGTTTATTTTTTACCAGGGTCCTTTGTTTCACAATAGGACCAAAATATTTTCAATAAATTTTAAAAAAGATATTTGATATCCATTGTTCTTGGTTGACTTTGATGTTTTTTTGCTTGAATCAATACGATTGACTAAATCTAACCGGTTCAATATAACTCTAAGTATTTAATTATTTATTATTAAGACTTAGATTGCTCTTCTTTTTCATCAAATCACCTTGCTACCCTTATTTTACCGATACAACACCAATATTGAGGAAGGTCATCATTGTTAACTTTCTTATTAGTGGTGGCTTAATCACAATCTTCATCGTCATTGTTGTTGCCAACACGAGGTAAGGATAACACTAGCCTAGTCCTTTAAAATGATAACATGTGGGTGTCACCAAAGAGGAGAGGAAGGTGATATGGTGTCATCATCACCATCGGCTTCTTGCCAAGAAGGCATCTCCAAAGAGGAGAGTAAGAGGAGTTATTGTCATCATCGCTAGTGGTGCAGGAGTTAAACAAGTCTTCATGGCAAAAGTATGTCAGCCTTCCTATTGTTTGTCATTATCGTGGCCATCGGTTGAGAATTAGCTTCATTAGCCTTTGTGATCAAGGGTTCATCATCGTATCATCATTTAGGTTTTTACAATCTCATTGAATTTTTATATAACTTAATGTAGTATTGGTGAAACATTTGCAATATCATTGAAGACATATCATTGTCCTTTGTATTATCACTGAAGCATCAATTGCATTGACCTATCATTTATGCATCGTGAATCATTCACTACAATAATAAAAAATATATAAATGATTATATTTTTAGAGTTTGGTACTATTAATTTTAAATGTCATTTAAATGTAAGCTACTTATTACAAGATGATCATCTTTCGAATGAAACATTTAGTTATCTAGATGAGATAAATAGGTTTAATGAAATAGTACCTTTGTATCATAAGTAATTTTGGGAAGTAGTCATCTAATATCAGTCCAAATTGTAGGATCTATCTCTACATAACTTTAAACATCAAGCTTTATTTTCAAAAGCGATTATGAGTTAAGGAGCAAATTGAAGTATCTGCACAACCTCAAACTTATAACTTTGATTTTAAAAGGCATTTATAATAGATAACAATAATAATAGTTATAAGATATTTGAAGAAGAGTAGGCTGAGCAAAGAATAAAAGAAGTCAAAGAAGTTATAGATCATAAAAAAGAAATAAAAAATGATATACATCATAATACGTTTGATGCCCATAATATTGTTTATGAGCTAATCAAATTTAATCTAGATATGTATGAAAACCTGTTGGAGGATAGGGTTATAGAAGATGATGACTTCAACCTTAATGCTTTAGCTCTATATCTAGATAAAGATGAAATTGTCATCAATGACCTATATATTGGATAAGTAATAATTTGTCACTGTTCATATTACAATATGAAATATAAAGATTTGTTGTGATATTTCATACTTGAGTCCTTCATGTTTTGTAGGTATTTAAAGATATTTCAAAGTTTAAAAGAGTTTGCAAGAATATATCATAAGGAGAAATTTTGAAATGAAAATTAATCTAAGGTTGAGCATTGTGGATGGATGATAGTTGCTCGTAGAGATGATATATGTGGGATTATGAAGTCCATCAATGAGCGCCAATACAATATGCCTAGAGGAAATCAAGATCATCCATCTTACACTGGCCAGTTTATAACTGAAGAAATCAAAGAACAAGTTTTTTGCAAATGAACATTATATTCCGAAGATGATAATTGCAAACATACAAAAAAAAATTAGAGTAGTAGTTTTATATAGAAAAACATATCTAGCATGTGAAATCATATTGAATGAAGTTCATTAAGACTTTGATAGATCTTACGGTGAATTAATGCCTTTTTCTAAGAGAGTTGGGAGTTCATGAATATAAAATGATATTTCTTTAATAAGTATAAAGGAAGGATATTTTCGTTGGGTTTTTTTTGGGCATTCAGTGTATGTTTGTGCAGTTTTATTAAGTATATCGTCCATTTATCATCGAAGACACAACATATTTATCTGAAAAATATCCTACTGTATTGATGATGGTGACTACTTTTGATGGATCTAATAAGTTATTTCATGTCACATTTGGAGTCGTAGAGATTGAGGGGAGAGTCATGGGAATTATTTCTTTTGGAGTTAGAAAAATGTTTTGATGCATAATTCTTTAAGTATCTTTAGTGACAAAAAATCTAAGAATTCTTAGAGTAATTAAAGAAATATTTTCAGTGGCACATCACGATTACTGCATCATCCATCTTTCGAAAAATTTAGTAAGTGATATATATATGATAGAGAAGTGAGTAGACTTTTTTGGGCTGCAACTATTAAGTCCAAGTTTAATGAATGTGAAAATTAATGAAAATCATAAAAAAAAATTTATTGTCATGTAATAATATTTTTTTAGAGTGAAATGGGCTATTATATTTTTTTATAGGACGATGGTATATAATATTAATAACAAATGATACCAAAAGCATGAATTTACTAGTCATAGGTGTTATGCAAACTAATCACGTGAGTGATGACACATGTGACATGACACACACTCTTTTTAATTATTATATTATTTAATATTTTATCACTTTATATTACTTGTCACATGAATATATTGTGATGTCCATGGACCTATGCAATGGGAATCGGATCGTGATAAGATCGCAATAATGAGACTGGTTTACCTTTAAACATAGACCCAAATAATCTCAGTCATAGGTTACTCGAGAAAGACATCGATATAACTGGATAGACTAATATATTGTATATACATCAATATGATAGAGACGACTGGTCTCATAATTATTCGTACGAAGATGCTAGGGATACAATGTAGGTGCTTATCGGAGAATGAGTTCACTGATTGATCCGATCATGAAATGCTGGATGGTTGATGATATCTTATTGTCATACAACAATTCTGTCATCCCAATGATGTATATATGGTCCTTAGACTTGAGACACAAAAGATGTCTTGAATATGAAGTTATCATTTTATAATTGATATTATAATTCTTATTGTAGAAATATATTTTATTATATTTGTAGAGTGGATTTTAATTGAATTAGGATACTTTTTTGGTTGAGATATATTTTGTTGAGATCACCATGTGCTAAATTCTAATAATTATACTAAAATGATCTAAAAATTAGAAAGATACTCAAGTTATACTCTAGTTATGGATAAGATAAGATTATGATCTAATATTTGAATCATGTGCTAAATTTTAATAACAACAACAAAATCATATAAAATATGAAAAATTGATACTAAACAACTTAGAATTATACCATGATAGTTTTGGAAATTTTGGCTCTGATTTAGATTAATTTTTAACTCATGTTATACTCAAGTTACGGATAAGATGGAATCACCATCTAACATTCAAATAACTACATGCCAAATTCATTAATTACACTATTTTTTTAAATTTTTTTTTAAAAGTAGTACTTGTCAACTTACAATCATGTCATGATTTTTTTTTTTGGATAAGTTCCAATTGGTTATCTTCATTGTAACTCAAGTATGCAATAAAGTTATCTTGAAGATACACTTGATCACAATATAACACTATACCATGATAGTGGTACCACCATTGAGCAATGCTATTAACTAAGGTAGTGCCATCGCTCCTAAACTAGGTAGGAGTATCACCCAAAACCATGGTCAGTATCCATCTTGAAAATAATAAATTCTAAAATCATGTAAAAATAAAAAAAATAGAATAGATTCTGTAAAATATGTTAAAAACATGATATTATTGTTTTGGTGAAGTTGTTTTGGAGATAATTTTAATATTTACACTTGATTTATACTTGATCATATATTCAATATTAAAAATCCCCTAATTCATTGCCTATTGACTCTAATAACAAGAAAAAAATATAAAATATAATATAAAATATATTATAAACATTTTATTATAATTTTAAAGCAGTTTAAATAGGTTTGAAGATTATCCCAATATTTATACTTGAGTTACACTCTGATTATACTCAGGTTACATTTGATTATAGATTCAATATAGAAATATCATATTTTACCACATTTTGACTCTAAAATCAAGAAAAATATAAAAAATATAAAAATATATTATTATAGTTTTGGAGAAGTTTAAGCAGGTTTGGAGATAATTTTAATATTTACACTTGAGTTATACACTAATTACACTTGATCATAT